ATTCGAATGGTTTTGGCCCAGAAAGCAAAATTTGAATATCAAACACTTAGGTGCAAGATTATGCCAAAATTCCATGTTTTTTGTCCCGTTTTTGTTCATTTCTCAGAGACAAAATGAGCAAGAACGCTCATTTGTACATCATTCTAGACAGAAATAAATGCCTTTTTAGAGAGTGAACCATGGATGGGAAAATGTTGGAAAATCGAGAAGTTTTAGATTTGCGCGGTTTTTTTTTGAGTTGCAAAATCCACTTGAACATGACGATGCTTTTTTCGAAGTTTCTCAAGAACCATTCCAAAATAGAGAATTGAATGGGTCATAATCCCCCCCCCCTTTGGATCCGCCCTTGCCACTGCTGTATCGAAATTAAATAGATTGTCTAAAAACTCGTACTAACAGGGTCTTTATCTACTGCTTAAAATCAGGTTGGGGATAATCCACTGTTAAAATGTGCGTGGTGAAAATTACAATAGAAACTTAACGTAAAAAAAAATGATCAGCAATAAAGCACCATTAAGAACAAGTGTATTTTCGTTTGACTTAAGTGCAACAAGGGGTCTGAGACTGACCAATTAAATCGAGGGCAATTTTCCAGTTTGTCAGCAAACATTTGGCTTTAAAACACGTACGGATAAAAATGTGTTAACAACATTGAAACCATCACAACAACAGTCTGGACAAGCTAAAGCCGCCAGAAACCTTCTTGGCGTAGGGTCGTTCCTTGTTGGTTTGCAGGAAAAAATTGCCCTGCAAAGTGGTGGTCAAATCGCCCAAAGGCACAGTCTCTTCACTGCAGGAATTGAGTTTGAACTTTGCCCAAGTGTCGCATTTCTGCGCCACCAAATCGCTGGGATTCAACACCGCCTCTATAAAATAGGCCCAAGCTCTACGGTGGTCGCAAGTAACTGAAAAGACAAAGTTGGAAATTAATTTCTCGCAAAAGCCATTTTTTTTTGATCAGGCTAAAAACGCGCAAACAAGCAGCAGATTTACCAGGTTCCGATAACGATCCGGCCAAATCAGCCAAATCGATTTTCTTGCAGCCAGGCTGGCTGCTTCCACCATTCGCAAAAAAGTCGATGGTTCCGCAGGAGTTTCGGAACCCGAAAGTGCCTCCATCAGTGTGAATAACTTCCACTACTCGAGCATCGTTTTTATTGAGCCGCTTATCTTCCGGCCGGGTTGAGAAGAGCGGACCTGCAACAAACGGCTCGAACCCAATCAGGCCTCTGGAGTAAATTGATTTACCGGCAGGATCCAGGGCGATGAGTCTGGGCAAAGTTTCCGAAGTTTCCTTTTTGAATAATTTCCCGACAAAGCCGCAAATTTGCCCCCCTAGCGAATGCCCCACCAGCAGGAACCTCTCCCTATCCACCTGATAGTTCCTATATAGATTCACCAAAAGTTTCGTTATAATCTTGCCTGGAAAAGCACGTTTCCTGTTCACTCTTTTATTGTTTTATCCTGCCTGCTATAACTTACTGACGTCGTATGTATTGATCGAAGACACATAATAGAGTTGATTAGCCGGCTCTTGCCAGTCTACCATAATAACAAAACTGTCCTTATCTCGTACAAGAAAAGCGTTTTTCAAATCCTCCATCCAATCCGATTGCCGACTGTTTGTCCAACCGTGAATTAACAGGACGATTTGATTTGTTGTGTTCCAGAATTGGTCCAAATTATCTGGATGAGTCGAAAACAAAGTTAATTGGATGGACAAAACAAGAGGAAAATGGAAAAATGAACCTTGGCCGATAACAGAATATTCCTTGGGATTCTCCCCCGTATAGAGATAGAATGAAACTTCGTTTTCAGTAACAGGCTTCTGTTGGAAGTCTCTGGTTTCGACAGCAGCATTTTTGTAGATGTAGAAAAAGTCGTTCCTCAGTCGATCATTTATCGCCTCGACCGCAGCTAAACAGTGGAAAAATGCATTAGTTCAGATAAAATATGGAAATGGGTGATTCAAAAATCACTTACTTTTTGTAAAACTCATTGCGGCAAAAACTGCCCAGAAATTTTGAAACCACATTTTGATTTTTTATCCTGCTGCCGATTGAATTTTGCAAGCAAACTTAACAGACGCGCGCTATTCTTAGGCCAGCCTGAGGTCAACTGAGATTATCTTTCATGGATTTTGAATTTGTTGCTTTTTTCTCTTCTAACAGCAGCGATGTTTATCAGGTATAGTCGGCAGTTTGTTCATTGTTAATCAGAAATCGTATAAATAGAGTATCTATAAGGGTTTTTTAGAATGTACTTTCTTACTATTGAGGAGGCAAGTTTTACTCAATAGTGTTCAAACAAGGCACATAGGGAAAAGTCCACTCAGCCTCATCTAAGAGATACACGCTTCTCGTCCAGAACCTCTGATGTTGACTAAAATATAGGCGATTTTCCACAAATTTTATCCAAAATTCTCCTATTTTCTTTTGATGCCTCCTCGGTAAGTGCCATTGAATTGAGAATCTGCATAAATGTCCGAAGTTGGCGAAGGTCAGCATAAACAATGGTTATTAATAATGCAACGATTAACCGCAAACCTCTTTGATGAGAATTTTCATTAATTAATCATCAATTGTTACTATTGGCTGTTGATCTTAATGGATCAAGATGGACAAGAGCAGAAAAACCAGGCCTGAAGACAGTGAGYAGAGCGTTCAAAAAATGTGTTTGCCAAAAARCAATTCCTGACAAACTAGGAAAAGTGTCAGAAAAATCACTTTTGGCGCACTTGTAGATTGTTAAATGATCTGTCGAATGGTGTAAAGAACATAGTTAAGGAATTTTCTGTTTKCCAATAGACCGCATAACACTCGCAATGTCTAAAAGTTTACTTCTATTGGGATAAAGGCAGAATTGAGCAAATTTTTCAAAAGGAATTGCATAAAAAAAAATTCCTGGAAAATACACGAAAAGTTCCAGAAAAGTGCTTTTTTTCCTCCAGTTGCTGGAAGTATTCCTAATCGCATTGAATAAAAGGCGGACTTAAGGGATTTCGGTTTCCTCTTGAGGAATCTGCTAGAAAGCCCTGTCAACAATTCGCTATCCTGGTTGAAAAATTCCTAGAAAATCCAATAAATTTGCCAGGAAAATGGCCTTTTCCGTACGTGTAGCCAGAAGTATTGGCTTTCGAAAGGGGTAAAATCGAGAATTGAGACATTTGCGGTTTTCTCTTGATAAAATTTTGGAAAAAATCCTGTATGCCAAATAGCCTGATCCTAAAAAAAAAACAAAAAAATTGCCAGATTTTGAACATTGAACAAAAAAGTATTGGATTTACGGCCAGTTTACGTGCTATCCTCGTTTAAAAAATTGCTGAAAAATCCAACAAAATTGCTAGTGAMGTGATTTTTTGTGCGTCTACTTTAAGAGTATTTGCTTTTGAATAGAATAGAAGGAAGAATTGAAAGTGTTCYGRTTCTGGTTTGCTCTTRAGCAATTTTTGRAAAATATTTTGTTTGTCCAACGGCCAGTTTACTCGCATTCCAATTGAAAATTTCCCGAATGAGAATTGCCAATAAAAGTTGTTTTTTTSGCACGTTTGGGTCGGAGAAATTGCTTTCGAAAGCAGAAAMGTYCTTTATTTTCTTTCGACAGTTTTTTGAATAAAAAAGTTTCTCTAATGRCCCGTTTACTATTTATGCCGGTTGGAAAATTCCAACTCTCCCAAAAAAGCTGATTGTTTTCCGTACTGGTAGCTCAAAGCAGTTGCTTTCRARTGCAGTAAAAAATGGAAATTAAAATTTTTTTTTTTAAGTTYATTGCCCKYTYGCCGAKTCTYTTTCAAATGCRCTACAAGCCAAAGTTGAGAAATTTTYGGTTTGTTTTTTTTTTGAGGACTATTTAAAGACTTTTTAAAGAAATCGTCTTGGTCTAACGRCCAGTTTAGCGCTAATTTAGTTCAAAAATGCTTGAAAAATTCAAATTGCCAATGAAATTAGCTTTTTTGAACTTAAAACTAMATTGAAACCCAAAACTAACTTTTTGTAAAAAAGAAATAATTTAGTTTTATTTTGACGAGTAAAAAAAAGCGTGTTAATCGAAGCCCAGTTTACTCGCTATCTTGGTAGAAAAATTCCTGGAAAATCCCRGAARGCTCCAGTGACGYGATTTTTCCCYGTATTTATARTTTGGAGTATTTTCAATCGAATGAAGTAAAAGGAAGAATTGATGRAGTTCTGGTTTTCTTTTGACRAATTTTTGGAAAATATCCTTTTGATCTAGCGCCCTTTATTCCTGAAAAATTCAACAAAATTTTGGGAGAAGTTATTTTTTTCGCACTGATAGSTCAAGGTGGTTGCYTTSGAATGGRCTRAAACATAAAATTGGGAGATTTTTGCTTCTTSTGTACAAAATTTCCAAAAAATATTAATCTCACGACAARGTTACTGACTATTTCAGTTGAAAGGTCGCTGTAAAATCTCAGAAAATTTTTTAAAAGYGAATTTTTCCCCTTTTGCAGTTTYGCGGCTGCTCTTTCAAATGCGCTGAWAGTCAAAGTTAAGRAATTTTCGTTTWGTTTTTCAGAAAATTTTGAAAAAATCATGGAAAATGTTATAAAATTTCCAGAAAGTTGGCTCAGAAAAAGTGTGCAGTTTTTGCTTTGAAATGAAGTAGAAGGACGAATTGAAGGAGTCAAGGTTTTCTCTTGAAAAGTTTTCAAAAATATCGTGTTTCTAACGCCCAGTTCGGCCATCGCGATTGAAAAATTCCTGAAAAATCCAAGAAATTTTGCGGAGAAGTGATTTTGTCCGTACTGGTAGCTCAAAGTAATTGCTTTCGAATGAGTTAAAAGGTATATTTGGAAGATTGTTCATTTTCTTTGAATGAGTTTTTGAGAAAACCTTGTTCGCATCACTGACAATTTTAGTTGAAAAAAACACAAATATTTGGAGTTTCTTAAAAGTGATTTTTCCCGATTTTCATCTCCGACGATTCTCATTCGAATGCTTTAAAAGTTGCGAAATTTGCGATTTTCTTTTGGGGATTTTGGGGAAAGCCCAAGAAATTTGCCAGCAACGTGATTGTTTTCCTACGTGTACTTGTATAACAAATAGCGCCAAAAACAAATTTGGAGGATTTAAAATTTTTGCCGGCCAATTTTTTGGATGACTCACTTTCCACTAACCTTTTAAGTGCACTTTTCGACAATAAATCGCCCGAAAAGCTGAAACCACACTCTAATTTCCAGCATTGTTTCTTTCTAAACGAAAGATAACTTCCAGACTATTATTAGCTTATTCATTAACTAAGCAAACATAATAACTGGAAATTTACATACATCTTCCTACACCCACTCATACGTAGGTACTCTTTATGCTGGCGGGATTTTTTCAAAGAATTCCGTCTCCAACAATCGACGTCAAGTTATGTCTTGTGCCGTTGTGTTCTGTTGTATGGTAATTAGTTCAATAGTTCACCTCTTACCAAATGTGGCCTCTTAATAGACTTACCAATCCATTGACCTTTTGCACTCCAATCTTAGTCATAGTTTAAGGCTTTTCCCCATTAATGTGGCTTTTTTGTTTTCAAAAAGAAACCAGTTTAATGAAAAAACAGCGATCTTCAACCTACATGCTCATTGATGGCAAAACTTGCGTGGTGCGTGAGGAGAGTGCAACAACTGTACAATATTTAATGTAAATGTTGATCGATAAGCTTGGCCTGGCTTGCCACTTTCACCAACTATAACATTTTTTAATTAAAATTTAACGTAACCGTATATGGCAAATCCACTTATGAATGAATCCCATTAAGTAATCCGTTAATTAAACACGTCTTGTTTTAATGAAAATGCTGCCACACGCAACATGAGCATCTCAAAAAAGTGTGAAGCATTTACAGTCTCAATATGTTTCATTAGTTGAGAATGATTTTTTGTACTAAACGAAAAGAGGTTGTAGAGAAATTTTCGGGTTTTTACAAGAATTTGGTTGTAGACAAGTTCTATATTGTTGAGGCGGATTCATTTTTTACAAACTTGTAAAATGTTTAAACGAATTATTTATCAAAAAGTAATCAAGAACTGTCACCTAGAGGGTATCCTGCGACACACTTAGGCTCAAGCTGTAA